ACTATTTGATAAATGTACCGTTACTTTCCAGAAGTGAAAGCATCTTGTATGAACAAAAAGCTTAAAAAATGCCCCCAAAGTTACACTCCCTTCTGAACACCAAATATTTATCCATAAATATCACCAGCATGAAAATATAGTACTGACAATATTTGGCAACAGAAAACAAAAACACCCAGTATCTAGTCCTTTTCTCATTTCTCTAGGAACAGGTCTGGAGGACTAAAAGAGGAGATTTTTGTTTGGTTTATTTTTCTGACAGATGAGTTCCCTCATCAAACGTGCCATGAGGCCAAGAGAACATCTGTGCTGGCACCACGCTGGCAGGGGGTGTCAGAGGGGGCAGGACAGCACAGGAGCAAAGAAAAACGTCCTGTGGATTTCGCTGGGAGCAACTGGAAACTCTTAGAGTTGTCTAAAGGGAGAAGGTCACCAAAGTGGGGAGTTGGAATACAGATATTGCACTTGCATGGTTTTTAGACAGATGAGGCCTCATGAAAATGCAGATTTTTTAAATTTTTACTGGTTTTAACTTGATGTTTTGTCTATTCCCCCACTAGAGCACTTGCATTGCTCACCAGATGAAGACAGACTCTGATGTCACGTCATTTGATTGTTTGAAAAAGCTGCTTTGAAATCTTTGTTCATTTTACAGCAATTAACGGGCTCCACCAGACAGCCACAAAGAGCATTTCATCAGTGCCACATCTAGCCACAGGCCCCTTCACTGTCCCCTGCACTGGGGACACTCAGGACACTGCACCCAGCTCCACCTGGGCCCTGCAAGGTGAGAAAGGCTGCACATCTCCCTCCCAAGGGCACCAGGGCTTCGGCCTCACCCTGACTCATCCAGCTGGGGCCATGCCAGAGGACCGGTGCCCAGGACTTGCTCTCTAAGCCACCTTTGCCCTTCCCAGGGGAGGTGCAGGTGGGGTTCAGCGCCCAGCACCATCCCTGGGCTGGCAGGAGTTCCTGTGCAGGCAGAAACCAAGCTGTGCCCACCTGTGCCAAGGACAACTCCACCTGTCCCACCCCTCTGAACAGCAGCCCCTGCTCCCCCTGGGGCTCTGAGCAATCGGGGAGCTTTTGTTCCAAGTCATTTCTCTGCTTTCTGGGAAGCCATGAAAAGCATGTGTCAGCACAACTTGCTGCTGAGGAAGGCATTAGAAAGGATTTGAACTGACTCCCCATGGCAACAGACCCTGAAAGGGAATTAGCATTTGCTCCCCATTCCTCGAGAGGCCTAAATGGAATTTGTTTTTCTCCTCCCTAAGGACTTATTTCCAGGAGGGTGGTGTGCTTTTGTCACCCAGCAGGCACAGCTTCGGGAGACACCTGCCCTGCACACCCTGTTCAGTTAACGCTCATGCCACCAGACATGGAACGGTGTCCATGAATGTTTTCCTTACACAGCTTTCCAGGGCTATGCACAGCTCCTGCTGCCTTTGCCAGCTCTGTGTACACCAATTCACTAATCCAAATCAGTTCCTGGGTTTGCTGCACAAAGCCTTTCAAACTCCAGATGTTGAGCTCAAGAGCCTTTCTACAACAAAGATTTTAATCTACAGAGAGACAACTCACTCCACCACATTGGCAATGCTATTTTTTATGCATCAAAAACACATCTCCAGATTCTATTATATTCTTTGAGAATCTTTCATATTTTCTCCAAATTCTTCTACAAACATGACCGTGCACTTCAAAGTAGCAGAGGAAGGCACAGCAAGCCCAGAACTATCAGCTCCAAGAGCCCTCCACCCCAATATTAATGCTCCCTTCGTCAGGGAAATTGATTAATCTCAGAGGAAGTTCATGAATTCCCAGAGACTCCCAGCTCATGCCTCAATTCTCCAGGTAAAATCTGGAAGGGGTGGGCATGGAATCCAGCTTTACCTCCCATGCTGGAGCTGACAAATTTCCATGGACTCCACAGAACTACACTACTGCACATGGTCAAGAAAACAATCCCTATTCACATCACTCAGTCTGGTGGCTCTGATGCTGTGAGGGTGAACACTTGAGAGTGTCGGCACCTATTGCTGAACTCACAGCTCCTGCTCTGACCTGGGAAAGCCTGGGTGCTGCTCTGCTGCAGCACAGAGTCATTCAAACAAGAAGATATGAAGACAAAACTTAGATGCCTGGAAAGGACCTGTGCCACCACAGCCAGCCACGCCCAGGGATGATCTGCACCTTGTGTATTTGGCTACTTATCAATGGGCAAGTGGTTCCCTAAGGAGTGGGCATTTCATACCACAAGACCCTCTGTGTTGGACACAAATTGACGCTGGTAATTGCCAATATTCTTCCATTTTTTTCACCTGTGGGCAGAACAAAGGCTGGGCAAAGAATGAGAATCACGTTGATAAGAGGCTCAGCACTGCCTGATTTGGACCAACTCATCCCGTTCCCCACCTCAGGACACGCTCGGTCATGCTCAGTGTGCAGAGGTACCTGAACTCTGTGTCATGTCCAATAAATCCAGTCTGGAAGGGAGCATGGACTGCTTCACACCACAGCTTGTCTCCACCTGAAGTTTCTTCCAAGCAACCTTGAGTTACTTCAGGTTGAAGAGACTCACGTGGACGTGCCTTGCCAAGAGCTGGAACGCACGCAGCCAAGCACCCTTGGAGCACATCTGCATCGTTCAGGGGCTGACTGAGCCTCCCCAGGGGCACTGGCACCCACAGCATCCTGTCCATGGCTTTTTCCAGCTCTGGACAGGTACCTGCTCCCAGACTGTTGTCAGCAGCTTTGCCCAGCTCTCCTCTTCCACTGCCCCTGTGGGAACCTAGGCCACTGCCCATCTGCAGTGGGGGTGTTTCCTCACCTTGTGGATCCCCCAACCTGCCTTTCCATCTCCCAAATCTGTGCTCCACATCACCCTCAGCCACCCAGGTGTAACTAGATAGTCCTGTAATGCCAGATGAGCAGCAAAAGGCTCCCTGAGTCAGGAGAGCAGAGGGCACGCTCAGATCTCGGGAGTAACAATAGTGCCCTCAGTGTCCATGGAGACTGGAGCAAGAAGGCCACCTTTGCTACAGACAACAGTTCCAGCTTCCTAAAATAAACAAGAAAGGAGGAAAACAAACCAAAACGAGTACACAAGAACACACACCTCCCTCCTGGCCATTAGATGAGGCCACACTGACACCAGCCAACCCCAGCAGGACTCCAGTGGAAGCACCTTCTGCCTGTGCACTGGGAAGCAAAGGCACATTTATCCCTGGCACAGTGCAGGCCCACAGGTTCAAACCAATTAATCCCCCGCCCAGGGAACCACGCTTTGTTGGTCAGCGGTTTAACACCCGCACAGAACACGCTCCACACCCCACTGCCAAGAGGGAAACACTGTAATAGCTGTGTTTCTACAGCACCTTCACTTCATAGTCAAGTGCATTTGAAGCACTAATAACAGGAGTTTCTGCAAGACCCTACAAGGCAATCGTGCATGGCAGTGTTACTGCTCTGAAGGCACAGGCAGAAAACTGTCCTACTGAAGAGAGCACAGCAGGTCACTATCAGATCTGGAAAGAGACCTCTGCTTTCTCACTTGGGAGTGTTTGTGACTTTTTTTTTAACATTCAGATTTCTTTAAACTTATTAAAAAGCCCAGAGCAAACAAACAAACACATCACCACCACCCCATGTGGCTGTGGCCCTGACTTTGCCATCTACGTTATCAGTTTGAACTGAACTGGATCCTTGGTGACACCTCAGAAAAAACCCACCTTATTCAGATTTCATCAAAGGAAAACCGTTCCATTTATAAAAAGATTCCTTTGTAAAGCCAACAGAAACATAGAGCGTCAGTACAGAAGGCTTTCCCAGAAATAAAGGGAAGCTAAGTATCAAACAGAGGATTGATTTTCATCCCGTGTTTTGATGCTCATAAAAGTGTTTTACTGCCACGGGTATTTCTTGACCGTGTTTTAAATTACAGAGCAGCTCATGCAAAACCAGGAGCCGTTAGTAGCGGGTGGCCTCTCCTCTGCTTTTATGGAGCGAAAATTTTCTTCTCCCTCCCGAACGCCGGTGATTTTGATCAAAGTCCTGGCGGGACACCCGCCTCGGCGGCTGAAAGGACAGCAGCATTAAATCAATTCCCTAGGCAACCTCCCAGGCTGGGCTGGGATTGTTAAAATAATGAGTTGTGCACCACTTGATCCCAACCCACCAGCTGATCCCCGTTTTTACAGACAATAGGTAGCACAGAACCAGAAAGCGCCTGCGACTGCTCAGAACGTTTCTCACAAATAGTGCATCTTCAGCTCAAAAAAACTTCACTTTTTTTTTCTGTAACAGCCTACTGGTATTTTTAAATCTAGGAAAAGCATCCTTCAGAGTTAAAACAAATTTTAAAAAAAGAAGTGTTCTCAACCTTATTCCATGGAGCTGCTGTTCGAAGAACCAGAAAGGTTTTTAACAGTGAGCATTGCACTCTGCTGCCTCTCACCTCTCAAAAACTCTATTTTCTTTCCACAGCCCGCATCATCTTTAACTCAGGTGTTTCATTGCAGGGTTCAATCCTGCTTTTCTTTTCAGTATCTTTACCTGTAGTTGTTCTTTCCCATTTCAGAACAAACACCTGAAATTTTCTTTACTTTAAGTTTTGCAACATACAGGCCAGAAGTCCCAAGGACAAGTAAATCGGGAGAGCCCCCTGGAAACAGTCAAACATTGTGCTTTATAACTCAGGAGTTAAAGCACACTTTAAACAAAGAGCCTATGACTGGTCCATCAGATAAGGCTTATATCTTTCTCGCTGGAATTTAATAACACTTCTTCTAGAAACACTTTTTGGTCAGCTGCAGTTGAAGTTCCCAGAAATACAGAGCTGCTTAATTACAACAAAGCGTGCATGGAGTTTAATTCCTAGCTCATTGTACTTCCTTTAAAAAAAAAAAAAATGGTTTGTGGAGTAGGTTATTAGCCCCCAAAGAAGGCATTTTTAGGAAGGACTCAATCGAGCAAGAGGTTTGGCTCCTCTCAACCCCCACCTACTCCAGCACCTTTCAGGTGGGGACCAAGCGTGTTCCCAAAGCAGTTCCCCAGCCCTGCTGGCTGATGTCCTCTGCTCCCCAGGGTTGTAGGCTAAGCCTCATTTAACACGGTCTGGCCCCGGTCAGGGCGAAGCGAGCGGCTGCAGCCGGCTCTGGTTTCAGCTCATCCCCGGCCCAGGTGTGCTCCGGCACAGCCCCGGGGCACATGGCAAACGCCGGGCTGGCCCGGGGAGGGGGCACAGAGCCCGGGGAGCGGCCGGGAGTTCATCCCGCCTGATCCGCGATCCCCGCGGAACAAACGCGGCCCCACACGGGCTGGGGCAGCGGCCCCGGGAGCACCTCGGGGAGAGCCCCGGGCGGCTCCTGGAGGAGCGAGCGGACCGGGGCACGCGGGGCCGCCCGGGCCGGCACGGCGGGTCACAAATAAAGAAAGAAATTAAAAGTTGCACCTTGCAAACCCTCACCTCAACTTTCGGCCGCAAACACCGGGGAAAAAAACAGCACCAACAGCAAAGGAAAGCCCAGCGGAGGCTCGCAGGGCACAGTCCCGTCTCGCCGCGGGAGCCCCCCGGGGCCGCACCGACGGACGGGACTCGGGGGCTTCAGAGGGGGTCCCGTCCCGCGCTCACTCACCGCGGGCCGCCGGGCTGGGCTGGGCTGGGTCCGGTCCCCGCCGCCGCCGCCACCACCACAACCTGTCCCGCTCCGAGCACGACTCGCCCCGGTCCGAGCACAACCTGCTCCGCCGTTCAAACCCCCGGCGCTGCCGCCTCCCCGCCCGCCCGGCCCGCCCCCGGCCCGGAGCGCCGCGAAACCCGGCGCAGGGCTGTGCCCGGAGCGGAGCGGCCAGGCCCGGCCCTGCCGCGGGCGGAGCGGCCGGAGCCGCGATCCACCCCCGGTGTTACCGCGGCCCCGCGCCCGCTCCATTCAACCTGTTCCATTGTGTGTCCGCGCCGAGCGGCGGGGCCGGACCCCTCAGTCCCGCCGCCCCCTCAGCCCCGCTACCCCCTCAGCTCCCTCAGGCGCGCCCGGGGCCGGGCCCCTCAGCCCCCGCTGCCCCCTCAGCCCCCGCTGCCCTCTCAGCCCTGCGAGGTCCGAACTCTCTGCCCCTCACGCCGGAGTCTCCTCACGGCGGGACTCACCGGGCTCCGGGTCCAGCCGGGAGCCGAGGGAGCGCTGAGGGAGCGCCGCGGCCCCTGAGGGCGGCCCCTCGCGCGCCGGCGGCGGGTGCCATGGAGACCCCGGGCCGTGCCGTCCCACCCTGCCGGGGACAGGGACACCTCCCTCCGGCACAGGTCGCTCCAAGCCCCGTCCAGCCCGGCCTTGGGCACTCCCAGAGATGTGGCAGCCACAGCTTCCCTGGGCAACCTGTGCCAGGGCCTGCCCTCTGTCATTGTAAAAAAAAAAAAAAAAAAAAAAAAAAAAAAAAAAAAAAAAAAAAAAAAATCTTCTGTGAATCTGATCTAAAGCGACCCCTCCTCCAGTTAAAGCCATTCTCCCATATCCTATCACACCAGCCCCGCTGTGTTTGTTCCCGAAGGATGCAAACAGCCCCTCGCTGCCGGGTGGGCTGCGGGGAAGGCCGGTGCTGTTTATGGCCATTTCCCTGACATCCCACACCGGCCATAAACAGCCTGTGCAGCGCCCAAGGCATTTCTCTGGGGCCATTTGGAGGCCAGGTCTGTCCTTTCCCTCCCTGGGATCTTTTGAAGATGTTGTGCCGCTCACAGCTGCAGGGGCAAAGCACAAGAGCTGAACACTTTAATCCCTGTCCTTATTCCTGATCACAGAACTGCATCCCCTGATGGAAATACTCTGCTGGGCTGAAGGAGGGGAAGGAGCTCCTCAGAGGCAGCGTGGGGGTTTTATGTAATGGAGAAAGTGCTGCTTCTCCCACAGGCTCAGTCCGTCCGGCCGGGCTCTGCAGGGCTGTTTGTCTGCTCCTGTGACTGCTTTTCCAATAGCCAGGCCTCCCACAGAGACAGGATCTGCAACCCCTCAGCCCTGCACAGATGGAAAGCACAGCTTTGAACTGAACTGGGCCTTTTCTGAAGGGGGGAGGGTGTGCTGGTGGTTTTATTCGTTAACAGATAAGCCCTGGATGATAAGGAAACAGCATTAACAAACAATTACAGGGGCTGACCCTCATGAAATCATTTGTCACTGCAATCCCAAATCCCTGTGAGGGAACAACATGCTTGGTTCACATTCGCCCACACCTCACCTCTGCTTGCTAGAAATGTAGCACGTGGTTTCCTGTGAGTTTTCTCTCCGCTTTACAGTGGGTTTTGTGATAAATCCTCCTCTGACTCATCTACAGAAACAGAAGTGCAAAGTCCAGAATTATATTTAATTATTACAGAAAATAAATCGTAACTGTACGACCGTGCCCACCTTGGAAAAGCTCTGCTTCCCAGACGTAGGAACACCCACGAACCCCCACGAGAAACGGATTATTGTTGAGCCTCCATTTGTAGTTTGGGGTTAAAACTCAGCTTTGGGGTTTGCTTCAGGGGACGCCCCGTGCGATCCCAAACCCCTGACTGCCTGGGTGACTTTCACAGCCAAGTGGCACGGCAGGGGTTGGCCCAGCCCTCCCTCCGCTGCACAATGCATAAAAACTCGTCTCAGATTTTCCCCTGACACGGGCACAGCCCCTGGTTTGCAGCCTCCCCTCTCCCCCATGCTGCAGGTACTTCATGGCTCGCTGCTCACCAGCCTCACCCCCGGCACGACCAGGAACAAAAGCACTAAAGAAGCACCAACATCTATTCTTATTTCAGAATCTCAGGAGTCACGATTTTGCCCTGAAATCAGCAGAGAAAATGCTGACACAGCAACTAACTGTCAGACAAGCAAGGCTCAGCTGTTAAGGGTTTTTTGCACCGCACTCTTCTCCCCAAAGTGTTTCACTGGAAAGGAATCACACAGAAAGAAGAAAAATCTGCAAAACACTTCACTTAAAATAAATACTGGGACTGTGGGAGGTCAAACGCAGGTCAAGTGCTTGGTATATAAAACATGTAACAATGAACGTAAGAAATTCAATCTTTATTCTGAGAATATTTACAACATAAATAGTAATACACTCAGATACTGAACACGTGTGCCAAAAATAAAAGAATTTAAGTCCTCATCACCTTCTGGTCCTCCTTTTCAAATTTCTTGTTAAAGTTTTATTTTCATCTAATTTTCAATATTTATAGAACCACCAGAAAAAAAAATCCATAGGATTTCTCTCTTCAGGTGAAAGTTGCCTTCTAAAAATCTGGATTCCTGACATTAATTTATATTCTTTGATATAACAAGTGATTTTTTCCCCCCCCGAGGAACTTTGTAACAACCTTAACAGACATGACAGATTACCATTTATATCAGCAACAATGCAACCCATTATTCAAGATGAATGTTTTCTAAAACAAAAACTACATACAAAAAACAGCGTATGAAAAGAATTCAAACAAAAAGCTCCCGTGTAAACACTTCCCACGAGCTTTGTAAAGGCCTGGAGTTTCTAACCAGTGTGAGCCCTGCAGCAAGGACACACCACCGAGGTGTGAAATGATGCTGCACCTCCCAAACCTGCTCTGTTGGCTGCTTTTCCTGCTGGGAACACAGGTCCTAGGGGTTTAGAAAGTGGAAACCTGGACGACTAATTTAGGACACTATTGTGGAAGAGTTTGGCACCAGAACCTTTCCACTGGGGGCCTGCACGCCGCTACTGAATTTGACTCCCACCTGGGGTATGATGTGGGATATATTCTACACAACCCACTAACTGTGGGGCTTCTGTTCGAGACAGGGACCCTCCACATCGTGGCACTGTTTGTGATCACAAACAGCTCAGGGAACTGCTGTTCCTCCACCTTTTTACCTCTCAGTGGAGCCTCTGAACCAGCTCACCACCTGTTTCAGCCTCTGCACAAATTTATTGCTGCTGATGTGATCTGGGATCCTTTCAGATTTCTTTTCCTCTTTCCATATGCCTTTATTTTTCTTCAAGGCCTTCAGCTCTGCCCGAAGGAGCCTCTTGTGGAGTTTCCAGTACAGGCGGGACTCGTGGGGCAGCCCCTCAATCCGGGCTGCTCTGCCCAGCCCTCGGCTCAGGAGCTCTTCGTTCAAGCACGTGCTGAGAAATCGACCCTGTAAAATGCACAATAAAGATGATATTCACTGTTAAAACAGATTTATTTGGGGGGTTGTGGGAACTCCCCCAGAGGTACAAGCTTTAATCACAGCTGCTAATCTATGCTCTGGCAGAAGAAGTTCAAAGTGAAGAGGAATCCAGCAGACCTAAACCCCAGCTCTGATGTGAGGCCCTGGCACAGGCTGTCCAGAGAAGCTGTGGCTGCCCCAGCCCTGGAAGTGTCCAAAGCCAGGTTGGATAGGGCTTGGAGCAGCCTGGGCTGGTGGAAGGTGTCCCTGTCAGCATCTGACAGAGAGACACACTCCTGCCATGAGTCAGTCTGCAAAAATACTGGTCTTGAAGTCAGACTTGCAAATGCCACATTCCGAATTCATATCCAAAGAGATAAATCATAAATAATAACATTCCTTCAATGAATGGAGATAATGGAATTGCAATCGAAACCGCGGATAAAAGCTCTATTTACCTTATTCACTAAAACGAGGCACTCCAGGGCCGAGCCCTCCCTTCCCAGGAGCTGGAACCACATGGGCTGCTGGGGGCTCAGCTCTGTCTGCAGCCAGGCCGTGCCACGGGGAGCCACCTCCACACCCGCCAGCCGGATCAGCAGGAGACCCTCCGACTGCCCTGGCAACAGAGGGACAAGTTTGGTGCTGGGGGAAAGCTCATGCTTTGCACAGACCCTCCCTCAGCTCCTGGTAATCAATTTATTCCCGTGGACTTAAAGAATCCCTTTTAGTTCCTCAAAAGACCTATTTGCAAACAGGAATTCGGTCTCATCTCTCCTTCAGTAAAAAAACAGTAAAATTCAAGATTGCACAAGTGGTTTATGCTGGTTTAGGTTATTTTGCATACAGAGAGAAAGACCTGCTCCCACCACCAGTCACTGTCTCCTCCTGTCTTTTATTCCCCAGTTTCCCACCTGGAAAGCACGGATGGACCAAAAGGCAGAGCTGGAAATGTTTCAGCCCTTCCTCCCAACCTTGCAGCCGCTCTGAGAGCAGCACATTTCATCCCTACCCTTGTTCTTCACATTCCTTATTACTTACATTTTCTCTGGATGGCTGTGATGAAAGGAATGCTGATGGGAATGTGCTCAACTTCCAGGCCTTGCTCTGTGACACGATGTAATTTCCCTCTCAGTTTCACATTCTTTTCTACAAACTCCACAGGTATATCCAAAGCACTTGTAAACTTTGTTGTCTATTGATGGAAGGAAGAGCAAGACAAAGTTTTATGGAAAAGAGTAGAGTGATTACAGTCACATTAAATCAAACTTCTTCTTAAAATAGTTTGGGAAATTACAGATCTATTATTAGAGAGCACGAACAAGTAAATACAGATATATACTTAGTATGTATCTGTATATATATTAAGTGCCAGCCTTTCCACACTCACCACGTTCTCCCTGGCTTATAGGACCTGCAGCATCGGGGTGGACATAAAAGCCAGGTTTAGAGACAGAACAGAAACTGCTATTTTTTGAGCAATGCCTATTGAAATTCACTTGATTCACCGTGAAAGGAGCGTTTTAGGAGTGGCCTGAATGCTGCTGGGATGAGGTGAAAGGAAACCAAAGGACAGACACGCTGAACACAAAGGCAGGGCAGGGTGGGCAGAGACAGCCCCGCCTTCCATACAGGATGAAACCAGGAGGGAGACAAAGGCAGGTGAACAGCTTTGGGAAGATCACAAGGAGATTAAATTTGATACCACAGCCCGGGAGGATCCCGAGGGGGTGTTATGTGATCACACAGGGAAACCAAGCTGAGCAGCAGCAAAGACTTGGGCTGTGGCACAGGAATGGAGTGAGCACTGGTTTGGGGTGGAGGGAGAGGGACAGGTGAGACCCCCAGGACTGCAGACACTGTAAAAGGCCTTTGCAGAGCACTGTCCTAATTCTACTGGTGGGATTTTAAAGCAGAAGCTCTACACAAAAGTTCTCTCGTAGCCTTCGGAACTGTGCAGAGGGAAGAGGAGGGTACCTGTTACTTTTAAGCAGCTGGAACCCTGTGGGAGTGGGGTGATCCCTGCCCTCGGAGGCTCAGCTTCTCCAGGCACCGGTGGTGTGGTGTTAGTGCAGCCTGACCTGACCACTCCAGGGAGCAGAGGAAGATTTGGGTGATGTTTAACAGCGTTCAAAGGCGGTTCTGCGCGTGGAAGGACCGTGGGAACAGGCGAGGAAAGTGCTGTGTTTGGACATGTGAGGGTGCTCGAGCTGCACTGAGGGAGAGGGGAAGGGCCTTTACCCATCCCAGGGGCTTTGGGAACAGGCTCTGGGTGGGAGCAAAAGGGGGGGGCGAGGGGGCGGCTCAGTGTTGGTGCCCCCCGAGATCTGGATCCCCCAACGGGGAACTGCTGTCAGCTGTCACCACTGGGTGCCGTTAAACGTGCAAACAGAGGAGAGTCCCGAAGATGGCAGAGCGGGGAGCCCTCCGAGGGAACACCCGGCTCCTGCTGCCGTGGAACGGAATAAAACACAGCGGTCCCTCCGCTCGCTGCGGGAACAGGCGCTCCCACCGGGAACGGGCGGGACAGCAACGGGACCGCGCCTGGGCTCGGCCGGCCAAGCTGGGATCCCCAGAGCGGGGTCCCCACAGCAGGGTACCTCCCCCGAGGTCCCCACAGCCCGGCCCCCCGTTCCCGCACTCACCAGGCGGACGCTCCGCGCCAGCAGCAGCACCGCGGCCACGGCCGCGCCGGCGCTCAGGCCCTGCGGGCAGAGAGAGGGGGTCAGGGGGGCCGGGGGGGCTCGGGGGGGCTCGGCGGGACCCCCCGGCCGCCCCCGTTACCCGCAGCAGCCCCAGGTGCGCGTCCGCCCACTCGGAGAGCCGGGCCAGGCCCTGCCCCAGCCGGCCGGGCCCGCCGGGCCGCTCCGCCATGGCCACCCCCGGGCGGGCGGGGACAGCGGGACACGGGGAGGGAACGGGGCGGGGACACCAACACCGGCCAGAGCAGCCCCGCCCCGCCCCGGGAGGGCACCCCAAGAGCGGCCGGAGAGAGAGCCCCGCCCCGGGCGGGGACACCTCCTCTGACCTGCCGGACTCTCCTTCCTTCTTGTCTTTTTAAGGCCTTTGTGTTTGGTTTGTGCTTGTTAAAGGCGTTTTAAGTCCTCAGTAATTCTAATGTGTTTTTTTTTTTTTTTTTTTTAAATCACTTTAAAAGAGGATTGGTAGAAAAAAAGCAGCAACATCAGAGTTTTACTGCTTCCCCTTCAGCAACCTGCTAATGGGCTGGCACAGCACTAGCATTTCTGACTTACAAAATAGCTACTTCGATTAAAAGCACTAATCCATCACTTGTTTCAGCAGTTTGGAAGAATAAACAGTTACTTAATTCAGGTCATATTTCATACATATTCTGACCAATTCAGAGTGTATGTGTAACTTTGACGTTGTTGAGATCATCTAATAATTGATAAGCAATCCTCAACCCATCTTTATTAGTAATAAGTTTCACTGTCACTTTCAGAAAGAGTGAAACAAAATCGCACAGTAAAAGCCAACGCTGAAAAACCTGGGAATTTAATTCCTCATCTTCTGCACTCGAGATGGTTTTCCTCAAAGTCAGAAAAGTTAAAAATCTCTAGGTATGGACAAGCTGTGATTAAATCAGTGGCCTGTGGTTCCAGTGGGGACACAGAACTGAAGTGTGGTCAGTGCAGTGGAGATGAGGGGGCTGGGACTGAAAGGCGCAGCCATAAAACTGGTGTGTTTTTATGTTGTCTTTGTGCTTATGAAGAGGGGGAATGGGAAGATTTTCAGCTTGGAGAATAAAAGCCATCTGATTTCACTCAGCTTGGCTGACTGTGTTGTACTCAAAAAAAAACTCAGGAGAGGGGAAGGGACAGGAATCAGTGCCAGGGAAAAACGTGAGCACACTGTCCTCTTCCAGACCCCTCCTTGCTCCTGATGCCACCGAGACCCTTCGTACACACCCACCCGTCCCCTCCAGTCACTCCAGAGCTGGGGTTCATTGACTTTCCCCCCAAACACGCAGTAACAGAAGATCCCCAACCTCCTCCAAGCCCAAGACTTCAAATACTGCCAAGGCAAGAAACACAGACAGAGACTCACGTGCCCCTCCGAGGGCTGTTTAATAGCGATGCACCATTTAACACCCACCGAGGTGCCAGTGCCCTCGCAGCGCGGGCTGTGGGTCACTAAGGCACTCAGGAGGGAGGGCAGGGGGGATAATGCACCGGGAATGTTTCCACCACACGGCATCAGCAGCTGCTGCTGCAGCAGCTCCACCACAGGACTGTGCTCCTTGGATTTATGGGAGGGCGAGACGTGTACCTGCTCACTGGGAATTTGGCAACTTTGTCATCACCAACAGCTTTTCTTACCCCGGGCTGGGATCGGTCACGGGTTTCCCACTGATTTCAAGAAGGAATGTTCAAATTTTAGTGACGCAGGGGAAACCCAGCACTATCAGTTCATTCCCTCAGACTCACCCTGCTCCAAAGGCCCTGCCCTGGGAGGCCCAGCTGCTGCACCTTCCAGTTACAGCTGCAGGACCCGAGGCTCAGAGCATTGTGCGTTACTCCAGTCCTACCTTAGAGCACTCTGTCCTCGAGACAGTACCTTGAATGTAATTCAAAATGCTTTGAAACAGCGGAAATAAATTAAACAAATGTAATTTGTTTATAAAAATATTTTCTTATAAATCTTTAAAGCTTATAAAAGCCAGAAAATACATTTAAAAGAATCTCCAGAACGTTTCATCCTTACAGGCGTGGCTCCAGTTCAGAAAGTGAGAAGCGAAGCCCACAGACACCTCACACTGATCTTCCCACAACACTTAACCTACACGTGAGAATGCCTCTGGCATCCCTCCCTGGCCAGCTGGCCTGTCAGGTCACTTGTGTGTGACAGTGGAGCCGGGACTCAGCTGGCAACGCTGCCCCTGGACAGCCACGGCCCCAGGAGCCGTTCCAGGGGTGCCATGTGGGATCAGCGGTGGTTGTGCCAGCAGCCACGGCTCTGGAGCTCAGGGAAATGCAGGATATGCTGGGGGGACAGAGGTTGGAACCTTTACTTTCTGAACTGGCACGGGGAGGGCAGCGGTGTCACACGCACAGCCACCGCCTCGGCCACACCATCTCACTGCTGTGGCACTGAATACCGACATTCCTGGGCGTGGGTTAGGGGAGATGTCTGTGCAATAAAACCAAAACAACCTTGCTGGTCCACCCAACATTTACGTGCATCAATTGCTCCTCTTGCACTTCCAGGAGGACTGTCCTTCGTCCTGCAGCTTTTTAAACTTTGGTCCAAGGAAGAACCACCAGCCAAAGCCCAGGATGAGGCAGATGACGGACTCCACGTAGTAACCGTCCAGGGTGGTCACGCAGGAGCCACCAGCCTTTGTGCAGAGCTGAAACAGGAGCACAACCTGATGCATTAAGAACCTCTGGGAGACACAAACACAACTTCAGAAAGATTAGAGAGCAACTGGTGTCTGCTTGCTCTTACTTATGACTAAGTATAGTTGTTGGCTCTTCCCTGTTTCTTACAGAGGCAGTCAGAGAGGCTTTGGAGCTTTGTCAGCACCATGAAAAGTTACAAATCTGCTCTGAAATAATTTGGGAAATGGAGCACGCTGGCCCATGGGGCAAACTCCAGGAAACAGAAACTGCCCCACTGCCTCGGACTGGCTTGGAGGTGCAACCACTGATCCCAATCCTATGGAGAAAGATGATGATTTAACAGTATCCATGTTATGGTCTCCCCATCCCTGGAAGCATTTGAGGCCAGGCTGGACAGGGCTCGGAGCAACCTGGTCTAATGGAAGGTGTCCCTGCACAGGGCAGGGGAGGAAGAGAGGGAGATTTAAGGTCCATTCCAACCCAAAGGGATTCTCTGTTGGGGAGAAACACGCCCAGGATGGTTTTTAACCCCCAGCATTCAAAGGGTGAGTGTACAGCACGGGACTGTCTCTGCTATTGTTTGGCTTTCAACACTGCTCTAATCCCAGGATAAATCAATCCCCTGAGCTGAGGCTCTGCCAGCACCTTCTGAGACGTGTCAAGATCAGATTAGGAATAAGAAGGGAGTGGTGGTGCAATGTTACCAACTGGGAGGATGAGAGAAAAGATCAGGGGAGTGAGGTGACAGAGGAAGGACTAAGTTCAGTAGAGGCCCAGGCCTAGGGAACCTAATTAGTGACAAGCTAATGAGGGAGCCTGCTGGGGAAGCAGTTTCCCCTCTGCAAGAAGTACAAACTGCAAGTCCAGCTCAGACAAGTCATGCTGGATTTCCAGAACACTTTGTTTGGAGAACCTCCACGTCCTAAAAAGTCCTGGCATTCACGAGTGAAATAAATCTCACTCATGAGCACAGAAAAACCCCCCAAACATTTCCACTCTTCAGCCACAGTAAGTGTCTCATTTGCCATGAGGAGGTGAATTTGAAACCTCGCTTTCCCAGCAGTTCTGTGTCCTGTTGTTTGATGTGTGTACAGGGCACAGCAAGTTCTTTGTTCTCTTCCAGAGGGCTCCCAGGACTGGGAATGCAGCCAGTCCCACTGCTCGATTTCAGGGGGAAAGTGAACACCAAAGTCAGGGAGCAGAGCAGCATCATGGAGAAGGGATCAAGGCAGGCAGAGAGGAAACCTCCAGGAAGACAGGAGGGAGAAAAACCCGTCACAAGAATGGAGGGACCTGGAGGACACACAGCCCTGCCCAGGACAGAGCCCCTAATGACACAAACATACCTACAGCCTCCTCACACCAGAGCAATGACACCAATCTGGTGCTTCTGCCACAGCTTTTCATCCCAGCCCCGACAGAAAGGGACAACTACCCTGCAACTGCAAACCCCTGGTAAAGGTGCTGGTTAGTCAGAGTGGACAGAAAAAAGCAGACAATTTTGTCAGATGGGAAAATCAGCTCTGATGGGAACTTTTAAGCATGAGCTGAGCACTGTGAAGGCTGTCAAAGGCAAATGAATGCTCCAAGCAGCAATTCAGTTGTGACACCGTTGAGCAGGGCCCTCCAGGGCCCCCAGACTCACCTCTGCAGCTGCAGCAGTGCCGCAGGAGTGGCCCTGGGCCCCGACACACTCCTTCACCGTCAGGGGATCCACCAGCCACAGGGCCACGGTGGAGGGCCAGTTGCCCCCCAGGTTGGACACCGTGTTCAGCAGGGTCATGTAGGTGCCCCCGATGAGCGGGTCGCTCACCTTGGCGTTGAAGGCCATGATTGCCACGTACATGCTGTACAGGGTGATCTGGGGGGACAAACACACACACAGGGGTCTCCACGGGCACCACGACTCAAATCCCCAACGGCAAAGCTCTCCTGAAGTGAGCAACATTCACTGAAAAACAATCCCAACAGCTTAAAATCGCCCAAGGGAGCAATTCCTGCTGCAGCCTGTCCCTCTGCCCTGCCACTTGCCTCCAGCGTGACTGGAGTCATGCCCCACATGCACTGGCACGACTCGGGTTATCAAACCAAAACACAAGGCCAGCTAAAATAGCCTCTAAGCCCAACACTGTTGCAGGTAAAAGCAACTCTCACAGCATCACACATTTCGGTTGTGATCCAAAGCCGGGTTTTCCAGGCCTCTGGATCAGATCCATAGTGATGTTCCTCCAACAAGCTAGCATTTTTTTTCTAGGGGCAGGATCGTATAACTCGATGGATCTGCAGAAGCAGCACAGTCATCAGTGTGCCTGTCAAACTCTGCCAGAGTGCTGGGATTTCTCCAGCTCCCCTGTGCTTCTGAGCCTCTGGCTCTGGGGAAAAAATAACCTGGGAAACAAAACCAGACCTGGACAACTCCCAGCAGCTCCACGGATGCTGTCCAGTGGAGCACAAGGGAGTAGGGAGAACTCACACTGGTGAGAGTATCAGAAGTCAATACAGCCACACTGA